GGGAATTGGAGTTGAGAAGGAAGAGCAATAGGACGTCGGGGAGAAGGAGAGTGAGTGTGTGTGATTTTTAATAGGTGGAAAAAGAACGAGCTACGGGGGAAAAAAAAGAAGAAAGATAAAAATAAAATAATAGCCGTGCACGGTGAACTGTAGTTTTTTTTAAACAAATGTGTGTTGAACATTGAAGAAAATAAGGATGGGATTCGGCATGCAACCCGGAGGAATAGACAATAAAGGTCAGTACTTTTAATTACCGTTTTTACTGTGTGAATTTAATTTAAAAACAATTGAAAAAAAGAAAAAAATTTTGAACTAATTAAAAATTGTGTTAGGAAGGTTTTTATTTGATGACAATTATAGATGGTGGAACATTGAAGGTTAGTGTAGAATAGAGGAAGTTTTATTTAATTGGAGAAGGAAGTTGCCATTTCTTTTGTTTTTCTTCGAACCCAAACTTGAGCTATTGAGTGTCAGTTTTTTTTTGTATCAGGTCATGCTCGCGCCGCCGTGCTGGGGGGTGAATAAAAGTGGAAAGAAAGAAATTAATTAAATAGGGTTGAGGCATCTGTGTTTGAGATAAGGTGAGGATTGACAAACGTTCATTTTGCTAGTCAGGAGAAGTGTATGAGTTAGAAAAATAAATAATTTCAAAATCACTTAATTTGGAGGTCCCTCATACATAACATAACAATATTAACTCCCTTTTCTTGTGATTTAGTTCTGGACGCGCAATAGAAATTATTTTAAATTGCCGCCATGTTGTCGGACGTCATCGTACCTACGCGCGTAAATAAAAAAAAATAATTACATTTGGTCCTTCGAGCCGGATTTGCGGAAATTTTTTGGATAATAAGTTCGAATCGGTCGAACTTGAGATAAGTTTAATCTCGCAATTTTATCGTTAATACATACCTATTAGTGAATTTTCGGAAAGACAAAGGGTGGTTGATACCCTTAGTACGAAGGCGTGCGATTTCAGCGGGAAATCGTGGTTTTATCAGCGGGTTATCAGAGGGCTTGTTTTCGACTCAAACTTGTTTACTTGTTACTTATTAGAATACAATATTCTTGTCTATTGCTTATCTTTACCATACAGGTATTGCTTGTTGATAAAGAGACGTATAATATTGCAATGGCAACTGTAGCGGAACGAAAAGTCTTTGAAAAGTTATTTGTAATACTCCAAAACTTATACGATTTGTCTAAAGATTTAGGTAATTCCAATAAATTAGAAAAGTTTAAGATATTGTATCGGTCCTTAGAAACTACAAAAAAGGATTTAAATGTAGTTTTAGAGGAAATCGCGGAATATAGTTTGGAAGTTAATGAAGATTATAAGCCAGATTTTAAGGTTTTGAGTACTATAGATGAACTTTGTTGTCACATTAGTAGGGCCGCGGAACGTTATGTAAAAGTAAAGGCAGCGGCAAGGGAAGGCGCGCCGGCAACGGGGCCCTCAGTGACGGCGGCGGTACCCAAATTACCGAAAATTGAATTACCTCTGTTTTCTGGGGAAATCAGGGAATGGGAAACTTTTATTCAATATTTGAAAGTTTGATTCATGGAAATAAGGATCTATCGGACGCCGATAAGGTGCATTATTTGGTCGGGCGGCTTAAGGGTCCAGCTTTGGCGGGTTGCTCCGGATTAGCTCCCACGGGGGAGAACTATGAAATCATTTGGAAAGCGCTTCTCGATAAATACCATAATAAAAGAGTTCTCGCTAATAGTTATTTGGAACAGATTATAGACTTTAAGCCACTTCTATACGAGGCTTCAAAGGGCTTAAATATATTCTTAGAAAAATTTGATGCGGCAGTAAAGGCTCTTAAGAATTTAAAATTAGTTGATTTAACGGATTTCATTTTAGGCTATTTAGCCTTATCAAAATTAGACCCGGCCACAGTAAAATTGTTTGAAATTTCTAAGCGAAATGCGGAGCTTCCTAGTTACGAGGATATCATAACGTTTGTAAAAGACCAGTCAAAAATATTAAGTTTGAATAAGAAGCTACCACTAAAATCGGGAAATCTGGGTGAAAGCGTAGGAAAAATATCAAAGTCTTTTTTGGTCAATGAGGCTCCTAAGGAGGAGAATGCGGCTACCACTTCTCATACTGGAAACAGTTGTATTTATTGTCATAAGGGGTGGCATTATTTAACTAGATGCGACAAATTTAAGCGGTTGACTCCGGCTATGAGGTATGAAGCGGTGAGAAAAAATAATTGGTGTTATAATTGTTCACATCATGGTGTACGGTTCTGCACATCTGATCGGTCGTGTATCGAATGTCAAAAAAGGCATCACATTCTGCTACACATGGGTAGGCCAAATAGGGAAAGGCTAAACGAGGCGACAGGGTCTTCGAGGGGAAGTGCAGATTTGGATGTGCAGAGGCCATCGGTTTTAGCGGAGAGTTCAGGATTGGTGACTAACCTGTGCTCGACGGAGGAGGCAACAGCCAATCCGATGCCTACTAAGCATACGGTTTTGTTATCAACCGCGGTGGTCGATATTCTAAATTGTCAGGTTGGAGGTCAAACAGCTAGATTTATTTTGGATAGCGGAAGTCAAGCGAACCTGTTAACGACTAGGTGTTGCAAAAATTTGGGTATTAAAATTTCGAAATGTTATTCCTCGGTGCAGGGATTAGGTAAGGTGTCGGAACCGGTAAGGGGTATGGCAGATGTTGATCGCGTCTCGTCATAATCGGAATTGTAAATATGCACTTAAGGTGTTAATAGTCGAAAAAATTACGGATAAACTTCCTAGGCTTCAAGTTGATACCGACGGCTGTTCTCATTTGAGAGATATTCCGTTGGCTGATGATTTATTTTACCAATCTCGAGAAGTGGATGGGATTCTAGGGGCGGAAACATTTTCTTGTTTAATTGGTTCTGGTAGAGTATTGGGTACAGCCGGAAAACCAATTGCTCTTCAAACTACTTTGGGGTATGTTGTAATGGGAAAGGTGCCGGTAGCTCCAGTACAAACGGATATCCAGGCTTGTTTTACTGTATCCAATGAGTCCTCACTGGAACAGTTAATGAAAAAATTTTGGGAAGTCGAAGAAGTTCCACAAAAGGCAATTCCTAAACCGGAGGAAGTTGAGTGTGATAAACTTTATAGGTGCACAAAGGCTAGAGATGAAGAGGGTAGGTTTAAAGTCGCTTTACCATTTAAAACTTCCCCAAACAATTTAGGAGATTCTAAAAGCATGGCTCAGTGTCGTTTATTATCATTGGAGAGAAGATTATCTAAGGTTCCGGAACTTCGATTGGAATACAATAGGGTGATGCAGGATTATATCGATCAAGGTCATATGCGATTGGTTCAGGAGATTAACGAGGGTCAGTCATCCTATTTTATTCCTCACCACGCGGTATTTAAACCCGAAAGTATTAGTACTCCGGTAAGGGTTGTGTTTGATGCTAGCGCTCCCTCAGATAGCGGCGTTTCTTTAAATGATCTGTTGTACAGCGGGCCAAAGCTACAGGCAGATATATTTACAATGTTAATTAATTTTAGACTTTTTGGTATAGCTATAACGGCGGACATTCGTCAAATGTACCGCCAAATAAAATTAATTGAGGACCATTGGAAATTTCAGCGGTTATTATGGCGTTTCGAACCTCAAAGCGAAGTAAACGTTTATGAGCTTACAACGGTAGCGTTTGGGGTGAAATCTTCTCCTTATTTAGCGTTGAGAACTGTTAAACAATTGATTCTGGAAGAAGGCTTCAAATATCCGTTAGCTGCTAGAATAATAAATAGGGATTTATATATGGATGATTTGGTAACAAGTGTCAGTGAATTTGAGGAAGCCTATAGTCTTCATGTAGAATCTATTAAATTGTGTGCGGCGGGAAGATTTGAATTAACTAAATGGTCTACAAATTGTACTGACTTGTTAGAAAAAATTCCTATTGATAAGCGGTTATCAAATTCTGTAAGTTTTAAGGCGGATACTAAAATTTTGGGAATGCAGTGGAATCCAGATTCAGATTCTTTGAGTTTTTATATAACACTTCCCGAGTTGAAGTGTACCAAGCGGCTAATCTTGTCAACAGTGGCGAGATGTTACGATCCGATAGGTCTCATTGCTCCCTTTATTCTCTATTTGAAATTATTAGTAAAAGAGTTGTGGCGGTTGAATTTAGCTTGGGACGAGGAACCTCCTGAAAATATTATGCAGGAATGGATTAAACTACATAACGAGTGGAGTATCCTGGAAAAATTTAAAGTGTTACGACATGTAGGTGCGATAAAAAATACACCGGTGATGTTGGTAGCATTTGCGGATGCAAGTTTTGACGGGTACGGCGCGGTTATATATTTGAGAACGATAACAGCGCAGGGAAATATTCAGGTTAGATTAGTGTGTGCAAAATCTAAGGTATCTCCTTTCAAAAAAATCACAATACCAAGATTGGAACTTTGCGCGGCAACATTGTTATCCAAATTGCTTAAGCACGTGATCGAAGTTTACGGAGAGAGAATCGTAATTTCAAAAACTTATGCATTTTCAGATTCGACTACGGTGCTTCAATGGTTGAAGTCAACCTACATTACGGATATTTTTGTGGCTAATCGGATAGAACAGATTAGGGAAAATCTGCCTTCTATTGTTTGGCGCCATGTGAGTGGTACGGAAAATCCTGCAGATTGTCTTTCTAGAGGGTTGTCCCCTTTGCAATTAATGGAACACCGTTTGTGGCTGTCGGGCCCAGCGTGGTTGCAAATCAATGAATCACTTTGGCTAGTGACTTCTATTGATTTGGGGGAGGAAGGTCTAGAAGGCGATCAACATATACACACCAGTTTAGTCAATGTTCGGGAAAAGGAAGAACATCCCTTATATGAGTTGGTTTTGCGTCGTTCGTCTTGGTCATTTATTTTAAGGACTACGGTATGGGTACTTCGGTTTGCAAAATTAATTCAACTGGGAGAATTTGTTACTTCTAAAGATTTATTTATAGCGGAGTCTATATTAATTCAAAATGGTTCAATCTAAACATTTCGGTTTTGATATCAAACAATTAGTTTTGGGTAAGGAATGTTCGGAAAAATTGCGGAAATTAAGACCATTAGTTCAAGATGGATTACTTAGGGTGGGGGGTAGATTGGGTCGGGCCCAAATAACCTTTGATCAAAAGCATCCCCTAATTTTGCCAGCTAAAGAGCCATTAGTTGATAGATTAGTGGATTATTATCACCAGACTAATCTGCATACGGGGCCTCACTTACTGGAGGCTATCATTAGACAAAAATATTGGATAATAGCGGGTCGGAATCTCATTAGAAGTCGGGTACATGCGTGCAATCACTGTTTTAGGCGTAAACCACTTGCAAAACCTCCGATAATGGCGGACTTACCATCCTGTCGGGTACAGCCAGCTAAAGCGTTCCTGCATACGGGAGTAGATTATTTCGGGCCTATCAATATTACTTTAGGTAGGAGGCGAGGAACGTCGATGTATAAGGCTTACGTATGTTTATTTGTGTGCATGAGCATAAAGGCTGTACATATGGAACTGGTAAGTTCCTTATCAACTAATCATTTTTTACAAGCCTTTAAGCGGTTCTTGTCTCGCAGAGGTCCTTGTGGGGTTCTCTATTCGGATCAGGGAACCAATTTTATCGGAGCCAAGCGGGTACTTTCGGATCTATACATGTTTTTAAATTCTCGGGAGTATACCGATACGCTGATGGCGGAATTATCCACCCAGGGCGTTGAATGGAAGTTTAACCCTCCCTCGGCACCACATATGGGTGGTATATGGGAGAGTCAGGTTAAATCAGCCAAAAGTCATATCTACAGAGTTATCGGTGATCAATTGTTAACATACGAAGAATTCGCTACTTTTTTAACACAGATCGAAGGGTTACTAAATTCTCGGCCTCTGTGTCGATTGTCGGCGGATCCTTTTTCCCCGAGCGCTTTAACACCTGCTCATTTTTTGACCGGGTCACCGTTGGGTAATTTACCTGCGGAACCAATTTTAGAGATTCCACTCAATAGATTGGATAGGTTCCAAATGATCGATCGTTTAATTCAAGAATTTTGGAAACGATCTACGATAAAAATTAACCAGATTTTGTCCGAAGTTAATTTCTACAATTTTTAATTAACGTTATGTATTTTGCTCCGAAGAACTTGCTCGTGCGATGCGAATCATTACCCCTCTTTTTTCGTTTGTGTGTCTGTCTGACACTGATTTGCAGTTTAGCGTTCTCTTGAACGCAACTGGTTGCGACCGGAAGTTCAAAGGTAAATTTAGTTATTTTCTTCGTCGTTTTTCCCTTTTAACGTTTGATTACATTTTGGTTTTCGATACTAGCAAATTGTGATTATTACTTTGTTTGAAACTCACTTAATGATTATAGCTCCGTTGTTTCTTCGGAAGCCTATTTTGATAAATACTTTCCCCGACTACGTGTTGATTCCCTTTCTACTAAGGATTATTTTAAATTCCAATATTGACATACCAAATCCTATTTGTCCTATTTGTGATATTTTGAGATCATTGCATTAAACTACCATCAAATATTGTTTATGTTTCTTTCCCTATAAGTGTTGCATTCCTTTTAGTTTTCAGCAAGACGAGAACAAGGATCTCTTAGTCTGCCTTGTTTACCCTTTTAGTAAGTATTAGAAAGAATTATAGCACTGCTACTGCACTTGCGACAGTTACTCAAGATGTGCTTATGGCAAGGGATCGTGGTTTATTGTCCGTAATTGTTCTCTTAGATTATTCAAAAGCCTTCGACACGATTGATCATAATTTACTTTGTTCAATTTGGGTTACATTGGATTCAATAGAAACGCATTAGACATAATTTCTTCTTATTTACAAAATCGGTACCTACAGATTCGTGTTAACCAGAAACTTTCAAGTAAGTCTAATATAGTTCAAGGAGTTCCTCACGGATCCGTACTTGGACCCTTATTATTTATTATTTATACTTCGGATATCCTAAGATGCGTTTCAAGTTGCAATATTGTGGCATACGCTGATGACATACAATTATACTCTTCTTTTGAGAAGGTTAATGCATACTGCGTTAAATAATTTAAACCAGGACTTACTCAGAATAAATCAGCGTTCTAACGATTTTAATCTTGTACTTAATCCTAGTAAATGTTGCTGTATATTTTTTGGTAAGAAAACTGATATTGAATATATGAAAACTAATTGTGGTGTGTATGTAAATAATATTTTAATACCTGATACTGAAACAGTAAATAATTTGGCACTAACACTTGATAATCAACTTCGGTTTAGAGCTCACGTGAGCAAAATGGTTCAAAATGCGTTCTTGTCTTTAAAATGTATATATAATATTAGACACACTCTTAATAATAATTTAAAAAAGTTACTATGTGAGACTTTAGTTTTGTCAAAATTTAATTACTGTGACTTTATATACGGCCCGTGTCTAGATTGTGTAACTAGCAGACGTATTCAAAGGATGCAGAATTCCTGTATCTCGCACAATACTAGGCATAATGCACAATTTACAATTCCACAGCACCGGACCGCTTTGTATAAAAGATCATTTATTTATAATGCCGTGAAATTAGTTAATTTATTTATTGATGAGTTTAAGATATTTAATATCAATAAATTCAAATTTAAACTTAAACAATACTTTTGAATTTGCAGCGTGTGAATCACTACCTAGCCACACTTGAGATCTAACTTTCATTCCTTATCTTTCAACTAGTTGTTTGGTCGATGAAATATTGATATATTTTTGTTTCTCATTTTTGCTTAGTTATGCCATTAAGTCATTTAATTTCAGTTTAATTTATGTTTAGAGGACGAGTATCGTAGGTTAAGTAGAGTAGCCTAACTTGGCTAGACTTCCCCTATTATATTTCCCTTAATCCTCTTTAAAATGAATTATGTTTCTTTTCCTTCTAATTGTCTAAACAAATAAAGACCTTATTATTCCTCCTATCTCTCTTAACATGTATTGAAGACAAGTGGCGCCTATCCGGATTACTTTTACTGTTTCCTTTTTTGGCTTAGTTGTACTTGTATATAAGAACCCCACATATTCACCCCGACCCACCTCTACGTTGCCTGAGCTTACCATGTGCTTATCTATGGTAATTTACTAATGGGTGTTTTTAATGTTGGTTTAAATTTAAATCTCTCATCTCATTCATGTTGTTATGTCAGAATTTGCCTTTTTATCGGGTTGTTAATGCTTGAAGCCTGAGTTCGGTTTTTTATAACTCGACTATTTATTTATTTATATATTTATTTATTTATCTATTTATTTATTTATTTATTTATCTATTTATTTATTTATTTATTTATTGTCCCTCTTGTCCTGGACCCTCATCAACAGGCAATTATAGAGAGACCCGCATAATGAAGGCTATTGTCCGCTCTTTGTCTGTCTGTCCATATGTCCCTCTGTATCACTACTAGTCCTTCAATTTAAGCTTGTTCGAACGACAAAAGATCTTTTGGATTAGTTATTTCCGTTCCGAGGACTGATTCTGTGCGGGGAAAATGCGTTTTCGTCGTTCGCGAGTGACCACGTTAGTAACTTGTTATAACTAGTCGGTTGGACTGACTCTAGAAATCGGTGAATCAAAGGGTAGGTCCCGCATAGAACAGGGAAATCCCAGCCGCAAGTTCCCCAGGGATGTGCTAAAACCGTACAGCGCGTTCTTGTTCTGCTCTCTATGTTTGCGTATCCACTTTCTCCTTTTTGTGTCAAATGTTCTTAAGAGAGGCCAACTCTAGCGTTTTCATACAAGGCTGACATGTTATGACATTTTAATTAATTTTTGTTTGGTTCTTGTTGAATCAAGAGCAACTGAAGACTGTGATATTTGGACTGGCCACCCCATATCCAGACCATGTGAACTTATAATGTTTGTGTTTTTCTATGTTGTGTGTGTCAAATACTAATTGTTTACAAATTCCAGTGAAGCCTATTATTCGACATTTCATAAAGTTACTTGAGAATTATTCTAATAATAATAATAATAATAGAGATTTATTGCCCAACAGAACATACATTCCAATTACAGGACAATACATAATAGTTAACGCGCAATTATTTAGTGTAATAAGAAAAAAGAAAAAGAAAGGAACACCACAAAAAACTCAAAATCTTAACATAACTAAACAACAACAAAATAATTAAATTCATATTTCAAAAAAAAAAAAAACTAAATTTTAAATATGCATTTAATGCTATGCCCTTACAAACAATTAATTTTGCTATACAGTTTTAATGTCAATTTGCTGGTTTTTCCTTGGTCTGGTGCTTCTTTCCTAGCCTACTATCATTCTTGCAGTGTAATTTATGCCATTTAAATTTCGGTTTTTAAAGTTGTACTTGTGTACCTTCATCTTCACTCCGAGAAGAAACACATATTTTGTAGCGACTTTTTCAAAACACAACGCAGTTAGTGGTCGTAGTATTTTGTTGTTCAGGTTAGGTAGCTTTGTCTAGACCTCGATCATATGCCGTGGGGTGCAATTGGGAGGGAAAGTTTTGATTTTAAATTCTGAGTTGCGCGCTTTCTCGGAATAGGCGGGGGTACGTTACAATTAAAAATGATATTTCAGTTGTTGCAGCTAAGGTGCTCCCGATTTTGAAATTATTTCTTAGGTTTCAACAAAACTTATTCGAAGAACAAAAGCAAAGCAGTAAACGTGGAACAACAAATAATAAATAAACAACAAAAATAGTAAATAGTAACAAAACATTTTTGATTTTTTTTAACCAAAATTACAAATTACAATCGGTGGTTCATTTGAAACGACGGTCCTGAATGCAGAGTCGCTGTCAGTACAAAATCGTCCACTATTTAACCCAATAAATCGAAAATTTACAAACTGCATGGCAAATTGATTATAAAATCCCGTCACTTATTGAGCTGCCAAATCGCTGAGTCCGTATAGTGTGCGATTTAAGGGTTGTCATTTACAAAACAAGGTTCATGTAATTTGTAATAGGCAGGGGCGGCTCTCTATAAAGAGCCAAGGAGCCATGGCACCACCTCAAGGAACCTGCTAATTATCAATTCTTAAAATATAATTAACTATTATTAATTGTGCTCACTAGAGTACGTAATTGTGTTTTAAAACCTTAAAACAAAAAAAGTAAATGATTTGATAAATTAGGTACCAAGAAAAATTCATTTGTGCTTATCCGTGGACTTCAAATACGGTCGAGCCGTGCCAAACTGAAACTGGCTCGTATTTTCCGACAAGTGTGGACTTCCGCGGGGAGTAGAGGGGTGGGAGGAGCGAAACCGAAGTAGCGTTTTATACGTACAACTTGAGCCATCAGAAGTTTGGCTCATAAGCACAATTGAATAATGTGTGCGTGTATTACTATGCTTTGCGCCGTTTTCCTTGTTTCAGTCGTGATAAGTCAAACAAATTTTTTTTACTTCTGTGTAAGATTACACTTCCCGGATTAATTGTTACGTAAAATACACAAATTAAAAAATCATTTAAATAAACCTTTTTCCATGCATTCTCTGGAAAATAGACTTTAAATAAAGCAATTAAGCAGGCCGTTACCGGACTTAAATATCGTTAAAAAACGAAATGTGTCTGAATCTTCTTTAAGAGGACCACACGACAATAGCGATAAATCCGAAAATAAAGGAGTAGGTATTCAGGGAATTAATAAATTTCGGTACCTACTTGTTTAGATAAAGATTTGAATAGTTATTTGTACAACTATTGCTGAAAATGATACTTCGGAGTTCGGCCTCATTAATACAACTGCAAATAAAATGTTGCTATTGTTTATAGATCAGACTAAACGCCATGGAAACGGATAGTACAAATCGTGAAAAAAGTAACACTTTCCATACAATTTTTTGTCAAAAAAATCCGCTAATTCTCATCTAAAACAACACAAAATGAATTACTGGAATGCATGCTTGAAATGCATAATGAAACAAGCCTCCAAAGAAATTAAAGGGGCTAGATTTGTTTCCGTCACTTGCATTATAAATATTCGAATTATACTCAAAATCTAAATAACTGGAATAATATGAAAACAA